TATAAATAGGGAAATTAATAATAAAAAAAATCGGTCTAAAAAATTGTGTGACTTTATTGAGGTTGTGATTATAGCAGATGTGACTATAGCGAGGGCTGACTGTATATCTAAACTAATTTATATTAACAAAAGGACAATGGATAAACCTCTAGAAAGCATTCCTTCTGATTTGACAGATAAAAGTTCTTCATCCTTACCTAGCATTAGTGAACTCATGGTAAATATTAAATACTTTGTAATCAAATGAGATTATTTATGATTATATACTAAATATAAAAATTTTTATTACCAAGAACAAAGTTAATGTTAGGACAAACTTTTTGCAACCTCCTATTCCAAACATTGTACTAGCAAGTGGTCAAAAAATAGTAATTTATTACCTTTTTTCATTTTATTTTATTATTTTTTTTTTTTATATGTATCGATTTCTCTTTTTTGTCTAATTTAGAATATGTCATCAGTCTCTTCAATTACTGATGATCAGATGAAGTTTCAACTATTATTTAATTCTTAACCTTAAAGTGTATAATGGCAACATCGTTTAAATTATTACTACTATTAAAAGAGCATAAATAATGAAAATAAAGAAATTCTGCCAACTTCGATAAATGACAAGGTAAAAAATTATTTAAATATTCTTGAAATAATAAAATGCTAACATAATTTAACATTGAAGGCTCAACAAAAAAATGAAATTGAAAATGCATCTTTGTACTTAGTGCCAATTGTTTTAGTAGATAATAACTCGGTATGAAAGTATAAAGTATAATGTTCAAATTCTAATAAATTATTCTTTGCTTATGCTATTTACCATTTAATACGCTATATGCTATATAAAGTATAAAATTCTGCATAACGTCATAGGTAATAAATTAGAGGAAAACTACGTATAGCATAATCTGTTTCAACAATATGATTTTTATTATTACATTTATTATAGATTGTGTATCAGAAAGTTCAATTGAGAAAGTCACTATCAGGAGTAAAGATTTAAAGAGAAAACGATTACACTATTCTTCTTCAGAATCTGGTATGATTTGTATTATTACATTATGAAATAAATAATGATTAATTCAGATTATGTTTCAGAAAGTTCAACTAAGACAGTCAATACCAGAAGTAAATATTTAAAGAAAAAATGCATACAACATACTCCTTCAGAATCCGATTCTAACGGTATATATTTTATGACTGTATTTATAGTATTATGAACTAAAAATTGATTAATCTAAATTATATGTTAGAAAATTCTACTGAAGTTACTGTTAGTAAAACTGAAAACAATAAGGCCAAGATTCTTAAAGACAAATTCGATAATATTATGAAATATCAATTAAAAATATATAAAGACCAACTCTTCTCAACAAACTCTTCGATAGAAAATTTTTTCACTATGAATTTCGATGATTTTTTTGATGTTGATGATAATATTCATTTATCAATCCAAACTATCACTACTTATTTGTCAAAGAATAAATTACTGAATCTTTATCTTCAAGGGTGGAAGACACAATATGATAAACTTAATTCAACAAGATATAAAGTTAAATTGAATTTGTTGAAATTGCTATACAAACTCTGAGAATCTTGGTCTCACTTCAAGATATTTAATGAGAACTAAAAATACCAAATATGATCGATTTCTCAAAGATCTCTTAGATGATGATAATGCTTATTATAAGACTCCCGAATTCAATGAGATTTTATTGCAACAGGTTAAAATGTTAGATTTATAAACATGTGACTTTACAGACCCATGGGCCATGGGTCAGTGAAGTTATGTGATATTAGAGCTTCATAACAAATTGATTTGCTAGTACAAATATTTATAAAATAATTGGTTTAGAGAAAAAATATTGAATAACATTAATGTGCTTATCAACTGCTTTGTGCTCATTTGCTGAAAATTTGGTAAAATAAATAAGTCATTTAATTAACAATGAGAATGCTGCTGCAGCAATGTAATTACTGATATATATATAAAAAAAAAGTACAAAAAGAAACTACTAAAAAAAAAAAAAATTCTGAGATCAGCTTAATTAGTGCATTTAATATTAAAGAATTTGGTGAAAAAAAATTTAAAAATCATGAATTAATTAAAACTAAAGATCTTATGTCAAATAATCAATCGAAAACTTTATTGTGATGATTAGTTGCTTCGAAAATTGGACTTTGCCAAGAGATTCATTTGTCTGAAGAAATAATCAAGCAACTTGTTGACAAATTATCAAAATCCTCCTTTGTTCCATATTCTTATGTGTTGAGTCAACCTATTGGTAAAAGTTGATATAAAGAAAGATATCTTTACGTAAGTTACATAAGGTAAAATCTAACTTACATAAGTTAGGATATGTTATACTACTTATGTCTAATTTTGCCTGGAATTATACTTAATTTTTCTTGAAAAATATATTTTAGAATTATACTTAATTTTCCTTAAAAATATATTTTGATTTTGCCCAGAGTTATGCCTAATTTTGCTCAGAATTATACTTAATTTTGCTTGAAAAATATATTCTGATTTTGCCTTAAGTTATGCCTAATTTTTGCCCAGAATTATACTTGAAAATATATTTTGATTTTGCTCAGAGTTATTGCCTAATTTGCCCAGAATTATATTTAAATTTTGCCTAAAATTTTGCATCCAGAACTATACTTATTTCCTTATGACAAAATCAGATTTATTCGTGTATATCCTTACATCACAATGGCTATCTTCATACGTTATTATATTTATCGTTAATTAATATCATATTAACGTTAACGTTAAAAAGTCATTGCAAAGTTAATATAAACTTATTACAAAGCTTAAAAATATACATATAAATGTAGTATTTCACAATGATGGTCATCAATACTTCTTGCTTGAACATATTTGAGTACATAAGCATAATATTTTTTTTTTGTTAAAAAAAAAAGATAATTAAGTACCTGCTTTTTTTTTTTTGAATTTTTTACATTTCTAAAGCTAACTTTACTGGTATAAAATGTTTGTATCTGGGGCACTGAACTTATCTGAGAATATTGATAATTCTGATATTAACGAGGAGATTGATTCTAATATAACTGAAAGTGAAAGTACTGAAGGTAATATATTTCAGTTGATATTAATATTTACCAAAATAAGAAAGCTTCAGAAAAATTTAAGTTGGTTGATAATTTATAAGTAGATTCTATTATTATAATTAGACAACCCTTATATACGGATTAATGGTCGATTCTTGGTCGATTTTCGACATTTGAAAATAGCACAGCAACATGAAAAAAAATCAGCTAGTTCAAAATCATGGAATAATGAAAGCGAATATAAAGAGATGGACATTCAAGTTGAATATAATAATAGTTGGAACAATATATGGATCGTGTTGTATATATAATAAAAGATTGTAAATTTGAAAAATTGGTTATTGTTTTGAAGTGGTATTCATATTCTTTATAATATATTTGTTTATTTCTATTTTTAAGTTATTTTTTAAATGTATTATTCATTCTTTTAGAATTAATGGACAAGAAATGGTCTATTGGGCTGATGACGCTTACAGTCTATGTCCTCAAAAGATCATCAAATTTTATGAATCAAATACAATTTTTATTAATGTTGAATATACTAGAATAACATTCATTAAAAATCAAACAAAAAAGTTAAAATTCAATTTCTACAAAATTATTTACTATTATAATGATATTTTGGTCTAGATAGCTCTTAGGCATGTTATTTGTTTGTTTTCGTGTATTTGTTGATAAGAGTATAATTTAATTCAATTAAAAATTGCATTTATTATAAAAGGATATTATGCAAAGTTCTACAGAAACAATGAGAGCTATGGATTGTAACGTGCAAATAAAATATCAAAACATTCAAAGAATAAATTTTGTTTTATTAAGCATTTCTTATATTTTCTCTTTGTATTGTAATTGGAAATATGGTTTACCTATATTTTTCAAGAACTTGCATTTATATATATTATATAATAGGAAAAAGTGGAAACTGAAAATATATAAATTTTTTTTTTATTAACTTTTAATTAAAATTTGGCCAAAATTATTCACATGATCAAAATTACATGAAATTTTACTTTGATAATTTTCAACCTAATTATTTTTATCATCTTTATACCAATTGGGATTCCAAAGTAAAGTTACAAAAAATGATTCATTGAACAAAGCCTTTTGCAATAGTCCTAAATAATTGCATGCTAGTTAGTTAGCTTTTATATGAATTTTACAATATTAAGTGTGTACTCGATAACATATATTCAGATATTCAGCTAGTAATTTACTTATTACATTGAGCTAAAGTAAACAAATATTAATTATATTATTGAATTAAACAAAAATAAAAATAAAAATACCATTAATTGCAGCTGAAATTGATTTTTACTAATAGTTCTGCTAGTACATGTTATCTGAATAAATTTGTGGTGGCATGGTCTACTTTTATTAGCATCTAGTTTTTCTAAATATAGTTTAGCTTTTTGTTTTTGGCATCTTTGAATTTTCTAAGTTCGTAAAATTTTTTAGCACGATCATATTTTTGAGCATCAGTGTGATTCATTTGATAAGAGTTTAGAAAATAAAGTAAAGGATAAAGGAGAGATATATATATATATATTGGGTCAATAAAATTTTAATTTATTTAATATATTACTTCACATAGTCAAATTAAATTATCATTATTATATTTTCAATTGATCAATAATTTAATTCGCCCAAATTTATACTATAATACTCAAAAAATTCAATCGCTTTTTTAAATTGCATTCATTCGAATTATTTGAGTTAAATTCTTAATTTAGAATAATTCAAATAACGTGTAAGAAAAGCCTAATAAATTGTTGTCTAGCAATAGTAGATAAAATAAATAGTCTATGAGTAATTTTAAATCTATTAAAATTAAATCTATGAATTATAATTGCATTTTTGCAAATTATTTGAATTAAGTACTTAATTTTAGAATAATACAAATGATGTATAAGAAAAACCTTATGAGTTGTTGTCTAGCAATAGTAGATAAAATAAATAATCTACAGGTAATTTTAAATCTATTAAAATAATCTATGAATTATTTATATTATCTGTTCAATATATACCACCTAGCAAAACTATTATATATAGTACATATAAAATATATATATACTAAGCATGATTTTGTTAGGCAACAACCTCCATATTGTATAAATTTAAACTAAAAATTCACAAATTGTATATCACTTAAGCCTGGAAAATGTCAAATAATTCTTCTAGCTATAAAAGTGATTTAGAAAATTCTATTGTACTAAATATTAATTTAGATGCTTTAAAAAAGTCAGCATCAAATGTATTTCAAGTACAATGTATCTCTATACAAGAATTTAACGAAAGAGGATTTCATAAAGTATATATCTTAAAGATGGAAGATGGTAAAGAATATATTGGAAGATTAGCAATCTCTGTATATCCACAATAGAAGACAGATAGTGAGGTGGCAATTATGGAGTATATTCATTTAAATACGCATATCCCTGTTCCCAAAGTTTATTATTGAGATAGTTCTGTCAATAATCTAGTAGGAACAGAATATATTTTAATGGAGTATTTACCTAGTATTCATCTTTGTGATATATAGAATAATCTCAATATAAAAAAAAAGAATTTATTTCTTTTAAAAATTATTGACATTCAATTGGCATTTAAAGAACATATGTTTTCAAAAATTGGTAGCATTTTTTTCGATGGTAAAAATGATCAATTTAAAATTGGTCAAGTGATTGAAAGTATCTTTTTTACTGGTGAGCAGGCAACTTTACCCACTATGGAACGGTGTCCTTTCAAAACAACAAAGGAATATATCTTAGCAGTTATTCGAAATCAGATGCATTACTATAGCATGTTTAAATCTACAAAAAAGCAAAAGTGTTTAATTCCAAAATATGAAGAACTATATCAATTAGTACCAAAATATTTTCAGAATGATGGAAATGACATGTTTGTATTAACACATATAGACTTTCACACATTAAACATTTTTGTCAAGAATGATAAAATAACAGGAGTCATAGATTGGGAATGATCTGGTGCATTTCCAGTGGAGTATTCATGTATTTATCCAGTATGGATAACTAACAATCCTATGATGGAACAAACTAACAAAAAGTCTAGAGAAAATATAATATTACAAAAATTTTTTCAAGATAAAATGTCTCATCTTGACCCTGATTTTATACGAACAATGGACAATATAGATGAAGAAAAAAAAAGAATTTTATTCTACAGTGTTTAGCCAAGAAGTATGGAAAATAGATGATTTTTTAAATAAATTCAGAATAAAGTAATTTTCATATAAGTCCTAAAATAATACAAATTAATAGTTTTTTAAAAACTATAATTTATAGTAACTATTAGTTTACAGATATATTAATTTCCAAATTTATTGATCGAAGGTTCTAAGAGAAAATGGTAAAGTATTTTATAATTTATCCTTAATTTTGCCCAGGATTATTTATAATTTTCCTAGAATTATAAAAATCCCCTTATATTGCCCTCCAAAATTAAAAAAAAATTTTACAGCTCAAAGATATAGATTGGAACAGTGAATTACAATTCATACAAATAAACTGTAGTTTGTTTGAAAACTAATCTGTTTATTTATATGAATCAATAGTTTATAGTTCGCACCCTAGCTCATGACCTAATTTTTTCGCATATGCAGCATTTAATATATAAAATCACATTTAATTTATTTAATTGAAAATTTTTAATTAAATTATCTATTATTAAATACAATCCTAATAATTCAAATAAAATAATATTCTTTTCCTATTTGTTTTATTTAATTATTAATTGATTTAGCTAGATTTTGATAAAAATAATTATTATTATTGATTTGGTTCAATAAATTAAAAGGATATGAACGAAAAAAATATAATTAAGAAAGCAAGTTCTAATATTTTCTGAATTTCAAGAATTCTATACCAAATTAGAGATTTGACCTTACAGCTCCACTTGTTATAAATTGATTATGATTATTATTTTGACTAGATGATTTTTAATGCCATCCTCAGGAAAAATTCACCATTGCGATATATGTTTTAAAACTAATTGCAATAAGCACAGGCAAAGATATAGAAAATGCGGTTTTATTTTTAGTATAAGACAAAATAAATGTAAAAGATGCCATAAAATACAAAAATTAATGGAAAAAGAAAGACTAAATCAGAGGGAAAATAATAAAAAAAAAGTAAAACTTATTTACTTTTGAGTTATAATTTAAAACAAACAATTTTAAATTTAAAATTCAAAATATTTATAACAGTATAATTTTGAAATTACAATATTTAACTGATAATTTACATTTCACATCTCTAAGTTTGTAGTCCGCAACTCTATGATCAAATAGCATAAAAGTTAATATATTATAAATTAATAAGTGATGAAATATCATGCTTATGCTAATCAAAAAGATTTATTTGTTTATTATTTTGAAAGGTAGAATGGATAGTAATTTTACATCTTAAATTTTTAGAATTATTATGTCATATCAGTGCTCACTATATATATAATACATATAAATTTTTTCTTTGTGCATATTTTTTTGCCAATAAAAATTTTTTGAATTTATAACACTGCTTGGAATCTTACTTAATTTTGCCTGCCTAAATTTATATTCTAATTATACTTAATTTTACTCTTAATTTTACTCAGAATTATTAATTAATTTTGCTTGAAATTACATTTTTATTTTGCCTAATTTTATAATTTAAATTTGCTTGGAATTATACTCAAATTTATACTTAATTTGCCTAAAATTATATTTTAATTTTGCCTGAATTTACATTTTAAATTTGCCTAATTATACTCGGAAATATACTTAAATTTGCCTGCCTAAATTTATATTATAATTTTGCCTAACTTAATTTTGCCTAACATTATATTTTAATTTTGCCTGAATTTATATTTTAATTTTGCTAGGAATTATACTTAATTTTGCCTGAATTAATATTTTAATTTGGCCTGGAATTATACTTGAAATCATATTTAATTTTACCTGCCTAAATTTATATTCTAAATTTGTCTAACTTAATTTTTCCTAGAATTATATCTAATTTTGCCCGTTATTAGTTTATATTAATTTTGCTTGAAATTATATTTTAATTTTGCCTATTAACATTATGTTAATTTTACCTGAAAATATATTATAATTTTGCCCAAAATTATATTTTAATTTTGCCTGGAATTATACTTAATTTTACTCAGAATTACCTAAAATTATATTTTAATTCTGCCTAGAATTATATCAAATTTTGCCCAGAATTATACGTACAAATTAGATTAACAAAATTGTGTAAAGCTGTACAATAAAAATATGTTGACACCTAGATTGGGTTCATTTAAAAAAAGCAATGCTTTTAAACCATTAAATTCTCAATAACATGATATGTGTTACTGATTCAAGATGTATGCAGAATTCATAAATCACGTACATAGATAGCGAACTAACTTATCAGTTTCTTAAAGATTCTGAGCCATTAAAATCACATAATTAATATATAATTGCATAATTTGCATCATTTAAAGTTCCAAAAGAAATTAGTACAGAAACAAGATCTATGATTATAGGGTACACAACAAATATTCTGACGAAAAAAAAATTGAACACTTACTCTTAATTTGAAGATTAATTTAAAAGAATTCAAAGTAAGCATGATGACAGAGCTCGAGTGCATACATGATAACTCTCAGAATCCGATTTCCCGATATTAATCTTGATAAAATGGCCAACTATGACATGTAGACAATACTGATATTTTGATGAAAAATGGTGACTTCTGGCAAATGTAAGATTCGACTCTTAATAAGTTATTTTTAAAATATAATAAATTATGTAAATTACTATGTAAGGTAAGTTATTCACCATTTAATAAACCTTAATGCTGGCTAAATTTATTCAGGCCAGCATAAGCTGGCCTACTTGAAAAGTTTAACTTTTGCCAACACTAATAAAGAATTTAAGTACTAAATTATCAACCAGAAGACATCCTATTTATTAGATCATACAATTAAAGTTTATATTTATTTTTTACTTAAAACAATGCAGTTCACTGAATTTGATTCTGTAAATAAATTTATCATTCTTTAAACAATCTATTTCAAGTCTTTGCTAGATAGATTATACTTTTTGTTAATTGTTAGTTTTATCTAATTGAATAATAACAATTTAGTTTAAAAATCAAATAAAAAATGTATATGACATACCTTTCTCAATAACAAAATGCAATACATATCACATTTTTGAATATATAGAAATTCAGAAACAAGGCTTTT